GTTCACTAAAATGTGATCCAAAGAAAACACAGGATGGCCAAACCTGAAATTGTAGTAGGCTTTCAACTCTGATTTAATCTGTTTTTCATCAAATCCCTTTCAGGGCAATGGACAAAAATGAGCAAAAGATGATGTGTTATGGTGTAATTAAGTTTCATGGACACTGTGAACTTTTCAAAAGAAATGAGGGAGCAAGACAGAACATTGGCGAAACTTAAAGATGGGTTTTGTCCAGCTTAAGGGGATGAATGATACTTTTTTTGCCTTTATCTAGCAGGGGTGGAACTTTCCAAATGTCAGTATGAATGAAGGGGCCTGCCCTATTTCATGTCCAGTCCTCTGCAGTTCTCATTAAGTTACGTTATGTAGAACTGAAAAGTCATAATAGGTAGCGTGCTAATAGGCCAGTTCTTAAATCAAAAATGTCAGCGACACACTCATCTGTAAGCAATTTTTAACATTAGAACACATTGGAATCAATCTTTTTCCATATTAAAGAGATGATGTTTTATACTTGAGGCAAGCTTATATTTTTCCATAAAGTTCTGATCTCCTCTTCATTTATAGAAGCACTAAATATCTAAAATAAAGTAACTTCCAAGCTGCGATGAACATAAAACTAAAACCAAAATGATTCCTAAAGCCTAGTGTCGGAACAGACCCATGCACAACTCTGTACTGCTTTCATGAAGGTTTGCTGCCATTTCTCTTACAAATTGTTCTTCAGGGTATTATAACTCAGCTGCTCTTTAAACCCATCACTCTGGAGCCAGGCCTACAAAATGTCAGTGCAACTGCAAATTTTATTTCTTTAACAAAATAATGGGTTTGGAGCAGTTGAGCTATCTAAAATTCTGTCATATTAAATACACTCTCCTCTTTTTGCTGTAGTATACCAGTAGTTGTGGTGTTTTTGTACCAGTAGGGAGAGACAAAAAACTAAACCAATTTACTAGGAAATGCATATCATTTTGTACTTTGCTTTTCTTTCCATAGGAGGAGCAGCTTATCTTGGCATTACAACATTGTTCCCATTTTTGTCAGATAGGCTCTTTTTTGGGTGAGATGTTTCTTGTCTCTCTTGGGTTTTCCTTAAAAGGAAACTTCAGCAGTTGGTTTTTAAGACCACGGTTTGAGAATCTGATTATGAAAAGAATGTCTGTTTGGGGTGGTTAGGGCTTTCCCCTATAATCTTGGGATGCTACTCAGTGGAGTAGCATTTCTGCCTCTGTGTGACGTATCACTTTTCCTGGCTTCAATTTCTTTCACTCCCCCCTTCTTTGGCTTCTGAAAGCAGATGATGCCAGTCTTATTAATGTTTGCTCCTCTTTGCCTTTATCTTCCATTGGTCAGTGCCATAGTGCTCATTCTCAGGATGATTGTCCAGTTGCCTAAATCAGGTTGTGGTAACACTGGAGACACCGTTTCCATGCGGTTGTTTTAGAAGGCCAGATGTGCCTTCTTGCTATACTATATTATTTTAACTGGCTTCTGGATAGATTTTCTGTTAATGTACGGACAAAGTTGCATGTTAAGTAGACCATACTAAATCTGCGAAATGTTAAGCAGTGTTAAAGTTAGAATGTGCTATGAGCGGTTGCGTGTTGAGGGTTCATACTGTTTCTTGCCTGTGCCACTCTGACTTGCTACTGCAGAGCTGGCAAGCAGAGGTGTGGCTAGGAGTGAGCTAGCTGTGGGCTCTATCCTCCTTTGGTGGAGAGGGTGCAGAGAGTGGTGCATCCTGGTATGGTGGACTGCAGATTGCTCACTTCATCTCTCTGGAACAGACTGAAGTTACCCTAGCATGAGCTGGATAGCAGAGCCCGGGGTTAACCCTCTCCTGAAGCGGTGTAACTTTAGAGGTGCTCAGAGGGCATTTAGCACGAGTTAACAAGCTTTAATATGCCAGTGCTTGTGTTTTAAGTGTCCTTAGCATGGCATAAGTGTAACATGTAAGTTCACCCTATGCCTTGAAACTGGTACTTGATTTTAAAACCCTCTCCTCATTACATGCTGAAAACAAGAGTGGCTGGAATGCAAAGCCACATGAGGAACAGCTGAGGGGACTAGGGATGTGTAGTTTGGGGAAAAGGAGATGAAGGGGGAGAGAGGATTGCAGTTTTTCAAACATTTGAAATCTTGTCATAAAGAAGAGTGAGAAAAATTGTTCTTCCTTGTTGCAGTGGGCAGGACAGTAAGGCAATGGATATAAACTACAGATGAGGAGAGGGAGATCAAATTTCAAGAAAAATCTTCTTAGCCATAGAAGTGGGAGGACACTGGAACAAGCTGCATTGAAGCTGTGGAATCCTTTTTATTTAAGGTTTTTTCAAGAAGAAATTGGATAGACATCTTTCTCTGGTTGTTTAAGATGAATCGTGCATCTTTGCAAAAAGGGAGACTAGACCCTGGAGACTGCTTCCAACCTTACACCTCATCAAAAACTCCAGTGATAGAAGTAGGCTGTGCTGCTATTTTCCTGCATCTCCAAAAGAGATCCCCACAAAGTTTGCTATATTTTATGTTGCCTATGATGTGTGGATTAACTGTGACTTGTTCCTTGAATTGTTGCCTTTGAGTCTTTGTTGGATATTAAGGTTGCTATGGTTTTAGCGTGTTCATATTCCAGCTCCTTTGGTAGCCTTTTGTGACCATCTTAATTCAGTGTTGTGGGGCAGACGGGATGTCTTTCTATTGCTAAACCAATTTTTGAACCTTTGCACAATTTAGCTGGGAGTTCTTCACTAGCTGTGTTTAGAGCTGGCTGCTTGAAGAGAAGAGGATTGCATGAAAGTAACCAAGCGTAATGTGTATAACATAAGAATAACCTGTCCGCTAGGCTGGATCCCAGTGCAAGTTACTGATATAACTGTCATTTTACTTTAGCTCCTTATTTACAAGGGTGCTTCAGAAAGTAATGTCAGTTTTGAAATAAAACCATTTTGTGTGTAGTGAGTGGGGAAACCACACAGCAGCAGGGAACACTGAGGGTGGCATTGTTTAATGCACCCATTGTTTACAATGATGTAGAAAAGTGGTGTGGTCCAGTAGAGGATCATTGCACGCAGCATGGTCTTATTTGGAAGTTGACTTTTACTTTCTGAAACACCCTCATATATTGCCACATTCATTAGAGTCTTTGGGAATCATGGGACCCCTGCCAGTTGGTGAATGAAAAGGTCCCCTGTAAATTATGACCCAGAGTCTCTGGGGAATTGTAGTTGTAATTGTAAGGGACCTCAAGGATCATCTGATCCAGCCCCCTACATGAATGAAGCATGCTCTGTCTTCAGCCATTACAGAGCGATACTTATCCAGCCTCTTTTTGAAACCCTTGAGTGAAAGAGATTGCATTACTTCCCTGGGCACTTCCACTGTCCTGCTGTTTTAACACTAAGGAAATTTTCCTGATATTTAATATTAAATCTGTCTCCCTGCAGTTTAAACCCATTGCTTTGTGTCCTGCCCTCTGCTTGGGGCATCCTTTTCAGTGGCTCCCACAAAAGGCTAACTTTGTCATGATATCCTGAAAGAATAGAATATCCGGAAAGAATATCCTTGCACTTTGGCCTGGTGCTATGGTGTTTCAGAGAGGGCCATATGTGCATCATTTTAAACTTACGCATCATTGGTTATATAGTCAGTTATTACACTAGTTAATAGAATCTTTCAAAGATAGATGTATGTTCCAGGGTTTTTTTGAAAGCTTATGGTGGCATTGACTTAAATCAGCTTAAAAAAAATGTCAGGTTTCTTTGCTGATGTTTTCTATCTCTTGGTGGAAATTCAGGCAAATTTATGTTGGTTGCAAAGCTGTTTTTCCCTCCCCTCCATATAATGGATTTTTCTCATTCTGCTGACAGTTGATGTAGGAAGAGCGCATGGAGTTCAGCCTAGTGTTTTCAAGGGAAAATCCTGCTTGTGACTGTAAATAAGTCTGTTTATGTTGCATTTCTTAGAATTTCAGGAACTACACGTTGATGCCAAAATTAGTGAAACTTCACTGGAGTACATGCAAACAGGATCTCCATATGTCAATGAGGAGCCTGAATATTTTCATTTCCTTTTGCTCTCAGGAGAGGAAATCCTGAGTGTTTTGTATTTTTGTATTGTTAATCTGTTGTAAGTGTTTATTCTGGTATTGGGCCCAAGCGTGGCTTGAGAGCATGGGAAGGTAGTGTGATTTGGGGAGTTAAAAGGATGGAGTTGGGTAGTCTCTATCCTCCATTGCTTTTTTGTCTTAACTTAATATCTTAAAGGTTAACTTTTTATACTTAGGTGTCATACTTTTGTTAAACCCTTTGGGAATCATGTGATTGAGGCCCATATCAGTCAGTGCATAAAAAGAGTCCTGTTTAAGTTATAGCTTGGATCCTTTGGGCATCTTTATGTGTGCTCGGAGGTGGGGGGAGAGGCTTTAATTTAGAGTGACTTCCAGGAGTCACTCTAATTATAAAGTGCCTGCAGCATCTCATGTATTCAGCATCCCACGCTTCAAAATGGCAGCGGGAGTACTTTAAAGCTTGTTTGAGTTTGAGTTCAAGCACCGTCACTGCCATTTTGAAGTGTGGGGACACTGAATACGTGGGACGCCGATGCTGCTGGAACATGCTAATTAATTGAGTCTGCACTGTAATTACAGCGCCCCCTTTGAGCCCCTGTGCAAAGAGCTTCAGTCTCATTTTTTTGATTGAACTTAGATTTGCTTTCAGCAGCAGTAATAAGGCATCAGACTCCTCCCTGATGTAAGACGGGTATACCTGCAGCATTGCAGTCCTGCATGCAGTAGTAAACAATCAATTAAACAAGTTAAATGAATGTGAAGTACTCATTATGCTTATTCCCCATTTTTAAGACTTCACCTTAATTTAGGAGCTAAAACTGTCAAAATATTCAGTCCAAGCTCATTTTGGAATTCATTCTAGATTTTTGTAAAGGTTTAAAAACCTCATGTACTAAATCTCCCTCTTCCCTCCTCCCCCATCCCATTGTGTTTTCAGTTTGTGGGCCAAATGTTGACATTCGCAATGATATCCATGAGCTGAGGCGTCTTGAGAACTGCACAGTCGTTGAGGGTTTCCTGCAGATCCTGCTCATCTCCAAGGCAGACGACTACCGCAACTTCCGCTTCCCGAAGCTCACCATGATCACCGACTACTTGCTGCTGTTCCGCGTGGCAGGCTTGGAGAGCCTCAGTGATCTCTTTCCCAACCTCACGGTCATCCGTGGGAGGAACCTCTTCTACAACTATGCCTTGGTTATCTTTGAGATGACAAACCTCAAAGAAATTGGGCTTCACAACCTGAGGAACATCACCCGAGGGGCCATTCGGATTGAGAAGAACTCTGACCTGTGTTACCTTTCCACGGTGGACTGGTCTCTGATCCTAGATGCAGTGTCCAACAACTACATCGTTGGGAATAAGCCTCCAAAGGAGTGTGGGGACTTGTGTCCAGGGACGATGGAAGAGAAACCATTGTGTGAGAAGACGTCCATTAACAATGAGTACAACTATCGCTGCTGGACTACCAACCACTGCCAGAAAAGTAAGAATTTGAATAGGTTGCTGAATTCAAAAGTTTTATATGCCTTTTTATAAAGCAAGCTATTTCCTTATGTGGCTTAATTTTGGGCTTTCTGGTAGTGAAGGCTTTTGTTTTGGGGTTGCATGTTCTACATGACGAGTATATTGATGGGTAAGATGAGGTTAGAGTGACCTGTTGGTTGGGGAAGAAAATAACCAAAGTACATCTTTTTTGGCTATTTTCTTGTATGAAAGAAAGATTCTGACTCTGGGGTGATCAGTGGTTTAATAAGATGGGAGGAAGGAAGAGCAACTGGCAGGATAGCTAGTTCGATCAGCCAGGAGCCACCAGCGCTGCTCTGTCTCCTGAGTCTCAGTGGCTTTCCTCAGAGTCCTGCCAAATAAGGGAGGCTGTTATAATAAACTTTTTCCGGAGTGTTCATTTCTCAGAACATTTGTTTTTCAGACGGTGTCTTTTGGATGATACTTGTATCCAGGACCCAAGTGCTGCCAGTGGCCCCAAGTTGAGAACCAAAATGGGAGGGTATGGGGAAAGGAAAGGTACCATAGACCTAGAAAGGGAGACATGAGTCAAAACACTGTTGGACAAAGCACAGGAGAGGGGGAGAACAAACAGTTGCTCCTTTTGGCTATATCTCAAGGTTTATGGCCCTGACTGAAAACCTGCTGAAGTTGATGAGATGTTCACTGCTTTCAGTGGTCCTACATTTCCCACCAGGATTACCTCCTGAGCCTTCTGTGAATAATCAGCACCACTGAATTCTAAGAGTCTGTGCTTGTGTCTACAAACAACTTTCACTGCTTTGAAATATCACCAAAATTACTTATCCCAAGTTAAAGTCCCTTTGGGAAATTTGGAAAATCTTAAGGCTCAAATCTCCCTTTTTAAAAGTATATTAAAGAAAATAATTTTCCTCCCTATGCAGAATCCTTTTTCTTTTGCATAGTGGTTCAACCTTAGATTGCTGATACTATCAAATAATAATAGCACTCTTGTCTTCAGTGATTTTTACTTGTATAACTAAACAATTGAACCAAAGCTGAATCTTCCCTTGCCCTTGTGTGGAAGCGAGAATGAACATAAATTGTGTATTGACAGGAATAAATGATCCACAGGCAGAAATAACAGAACAACGGGCTGTGTAATCCCCGTGGTATTCCAAATGTGATGTTTGCTGCAGGTTCCTCTACTGATTAATTGATTGAAAACCTTCAGCATCAGCCACTAAAATGCATTCTATACTGTGCTGGCTAGACGCATGATCCTTTGATTTTTTTTTTAATGCAAATGTATAAGTTTCTGTATTAATGTTGTTAAAATAATCTAGTAAAATAGACGTTTTCTTAGCAAGTTTAAAATCTCATGAAGGTGGACCTTGACTATGCACAGTTACTGCTGATTTGCTCACAAGAACATCGAGAGTGGGGTGTGTAGCTTCTTCTAAACCCCGGAAGCTGAAATTCAGAGTGCCATGGAAACGTTTTCCCTTTCCGTAATTCTCTCTAACATATTGCTCAAACAAGCTCCTGATAGCTTGGGATCCTTCCGTCTGCCCAGCGAGTGGGATGCTTTGTGTGGGATGCATTTCACTGACATGGAGAGAGAAAATGAAACCTTTTGAAATCCTAGAACATGTGGTCGGTCAGCTTTCGGTAACTGATGTGAAAAAGAGAAATCTCTACTTCCCCAGCTCCCTGAAGCTCGCAGTAAAAGCCAGGGCTTTGGAGGGAAGCATCTGGGTTTAACATTGGTCTCTATCTTGCAAGCACTGGACATGCTGAACTGAACTTACATGAGTGGTCTCTCCATGACTTCAGTGGGACCGCTTGTTTAAATGGGATTATGCCTGGGTCTTAAGTGCTTGCAGAGTTGGGGCTATAGATAGAAACCTCATTTACCATTGCACTGGTCTGTTTTGCTCCTGTGAGCTTTCTTTCACTAAAGATAATTACTTTAAGTATTTTCTTCTGTAAATAAGTCGATGTTCACATTATCTGCAGTTTTAAATAGTTAGTGAGAGAAAATTAATGTGCTGGCTAAGTGAAATTATACTTATCTTCTTGTGAGTGTGTTCTTATCTGTTATGGCAGGGTTTATCTCTCGTTTGATAGCAGGTACAGACAAAAATGAACTGCTAAACTTGGTCTCTTTGCACTTCTTAAAAATAGAGTAAACAAGCTCATGGTTTACTCAAATAACCATGATTGCACTGTAAGCTTTGAGTCCATCCTGTAACTTCATGAAAGTAGAGCCCAGCCATATTGCTAGGGCTTAATTATAGAGACTGATCACTGGGAGGAGCAGTTCCAAAAGTTTACTTCAACTTAACTCAGGATTTCAAGGGACAATATCAGAGCTTGAGAGTGTTAGTTTTTCTAAGCTTCTTTTATAGTCAAACTTGGAGGCTCTGTTTTGGTGCAACCACTTTGAGTGATCCACCAAGTCCTCAACAGATACCGCCTGTGTAAAATTTAAGCATGTTGCATTAAAATTTTGTTCCAGAAAACCCCTTTATAAAAAGGCATGGTGAGACACTGTTATCTCGGTGACCTTTTTGTAGGTACTGGAGCGGATTAAAAAAACCCCAAAACCCCAATGAAAAAAGGAAAAAAAACAGAGAACCCACTCAAGTGCCAGGATAGAGCAACTCAATCTGGAACAGGCTCAAGATAGGTTTGTTCCTTATAGATTACTAGTGGTAAAAGTGGTTCTGAAGGCCAAATCATGCCTTTGTGAAACCTGTGCCCCAAGTGATTCAGAAACTTTGAAGAGTTTGGACACATCCAGACGAGCGTGGACATTTGGTTCCCTGGGGACAAGTAGTGCTGGCGCACCTTGTGCTGCTGCTACTTGTTCCTGGGGAACACCTATGCTACATGTGCTTTGGTGCACAGCAGGTTACCCTGGGTGGGGTAGGGGAGGCTGGGGCCAACACTTGACTGGCCCCAGCAGACTTACCTGGGGTCCTGGGAGGGACTCCTAGGGCTGCAACAGTGGTGATTCTGTTGTATGGAGCCTGGCCTGTAGTGTGGCTTCGGGCGACCCGACTCTGCTTTTGAGGGGTGCGCTGCCTGTGTGCACTGCTCTGCTTCTCCCCCTCTTCCCCCTCCCAGGTTTTTTTGACTCCTGGGGGTCAAAAAAAAAATCCCGCAGGAAAAAATGCAGAGCAGCACATGCATGGGCAGCACTCCCTTGCAGCGTGGAGAACATCTAAATGTGTGGTATGTGGCGCCGCAGATATGTTTGCAGTGCCACATATCGCATGGCCATACTTGTCTGCATGCAGCCTTTGGGACCTTAAAAAAATTATGTGCATTCCATTTGGCTCCCTGTTACTTGCTGGCCCAAAGGAAATGACACAAGAGTCAGGAACAAGTAAAGTTACTTGAATTTTCCTGAAATCACTTGTTCCAACATTGAATTGATATCTGAAGTAGATCTGTTGAATAAGAAGATGCCATACTTACATAGGGAGATCAAGGAGACCAGGTGGATAATACTTTTATTCCAAATTGTTTTTCTGTTTTACCTTTCTATGTGGTGGTAAGTAAGCGAGGGGGGTGGTGGTGGAGTGGTAGAGAAGATTGGTGGCTTAGGAGCTGGTAAGGTAGAGAAGAGAGAATTCAGCTGAGTACATGAATAAATCCTAGGATTGTTGGTTGTAGCCGTGTTGGCCTAAGGACATAGGCAGATAAGGTTGTTTGGGTAGATGTGATTATCTTTTATTAGACCAACTAAATGTTATTGGCTATAAATGTTAAATAAATAAATCAATCCTAGTAGTTTGACAAAGAGCAAGCAACTTGGAAGTATGTTTTCTGTTAATCATAAGTCATGACCTACGAGGAAGAGGGTTTCAATTTGTCAGTAGTCCATCTAGACGAGTAGCACTGCCCTTTCTGAAGAAAAACAAAGTATAAATGTTCAATTGTTTAAAAGGAAGCTCTTCTGTTTATCCTACTTGATTGTTGGAACCACACTAGCAATGAAATCCTTATCTGGAAAGAGCTCTACTGTACAGAAGTACAAAAGAACGTTTAAAAAAAGGCTAGTAGTTTAAGTATCTGAATGTTTTTACTCCTACATTTTACCCTCTAAGAAAGGCACCACAAGGTTGGAGTGTTTTCTGGAGAGCATTCACTCTGATAAGTGAAGATCACAATTTCTGACATTTCAGTTGTGTGCCATAGCAATACTAAGCTAGAAGTGTTGTATGTCTCCGGTGCACTTAATTTGTTATCTTTTGATTTTGTTGTTGTTGTTGTTGGTTGCAGCTCTATAGAAGGGAGTGTGCTTTAAATCCCTCGATATCCCTTACTGAAGGTCTGAGCAAGGATAAAGTTGGTAGGTAGAGAGAAGCTGTGTGGGAACACTCAGTGCTCTTTGCAGGCTGGCTTCTGTTTAATTTTGCCATTGAGTGGAACGCAGTTTTTGTTTCCTCTGCTTTCTTTCTCACAAACAAAGGAAAAGGCCTTTGCTTCCTTCGATATAACTTGCTCAGAAACAATGTTGGAGGTGGGAAGGAGGTAGCATGGGTAACTGTTCTGTGTTTCAGAGAGGCAGAGCCACTGGCTTACATTTTTATAACAGAGCAAAACCAAAAAATGGCATAAAAAAAAGTGTTTGTGTGAAGGTTCTGTTTTGTAACCCATGACTTGTGTCTAGCCTGTGTTCCTTTGCTTTTCAGTTCCTTTGCTTTCCCCATGTCAGGAAATCTTAGCTGGTTTGCTTCAGTTCCCAGCAAACTACTGCATTACCTACACTGCTGTCATCTCTGATTTTTACACCTAGTTGCCTTCTGGGGTGGAAGGTGTCCTGCCTTTGTCTCCTTTTGGCAGCAGATTCAGATAGTGACTTTTTTTCAGGTATGAGTGAAGTGTTCAGGTTGTTTTCAGCAGCCGGCAGGAGTGGAATGAGACATGGAATATGAAAAGCGAATTTGGAAGTGATCACAAGAAAGATCATGTCTAAATGCAATAAAAAAGTTTCCTGTGGAGCAT